TCAACTCTGCTTCCTAAAATGCTGGCTTTGTTAAATAAAAGTGTAACAGTCACTGCTCATAAATAAACCTTGCTCTGCAGCATTTGCAACCTCAACATTGCAGCATTTTGCTAGTGCGTGTGAGCCTGAAAATGAAATTGAAAGTCTATTTTCAGGGCCCAAACTGAGATAAATGCCAAATGTAAACAAACAGGAGTGTTGGAAAGGGAAATAATTTTTCCAGATTCTTTGGGTTTAGATAGCCTAAAGTTTCTTTTCAGCATACTTGTACATTTTAAGGACATTTGTTTTTCCTAATTATTTTTATCTTGATATTGCCAAATCAGTAAGAAGCATTTCACATAAGGGCTGTGAAAGGCCCTGAGCTGCAGCCAGTTCAACAGAACCATCAGCCTTCTATGTAGACGTATTGCAAAGTAAAAAAAGTCATACACAGCTCTCTTCTATACTGGGAGCCTGTAATGAGGGTTCAGCCCTGAAGAGATTTTGTTTGTTAAGCCTTTTGGTTTTCCATTTATTGACTTGTTATTATAGAGGTCAGCCAGAGAACCATTTGTTATTCACTTACCTCGGCCTCCCATAGCCTTCCGGTATGGACCTGTAAGCCACAAGAGCCTGTGTCCGGGCCCCTTCTAATCTTTCCTGGAATATTTTCCTTGCTTGAGACAGGGACAGCTCATGCCCTAGAATTTTGGGGAGCACCCGGATGTCACTGCCAAGAGCCTGATAGTGGGCATAGGGTGTCAGGAAGTCATGCTCCTTGCTATGTGGAGGCTTCAGTTTGTAATTCTCCATGGCCTTTTCTGAAGCCATTGAACAGTGGAGCATGTTTCTGTTTCCTAGGGAGGATCTGTGATGGTCTTCATAGCTGTGGAGCTGCCAAGGAGATGTTTCCCAGGAACTCAGAATCTGAAATCCACCCAGAGCTTGCATTTGTCAACAGTATTTCTAGACCAGAATTCCTTCACCATTCCAAACACCTGGATATATAAAAGAGCAAGTCCTGCCTAGTATTGCAGCAGATGCTCCTGCATCCCTCCTTCCTAGTGCTTGTGGAAGGGTCCATTTTCACACAGCTTCTTTACAGTCTGGAAGACTTGGGATGTACTTCATGTAGTATGTTCATACACATTTAGTAGCTCCAGTCTGTTCTTCCCCAGATAATGTTGTCTGGAGGAGCCTGTCGGATCTGCATTCTGCTGCTTGTTTAGTTGGGACCATTGCCTTGGGGTGCTCTTTGTTCGCTTATGCAAAAAGTAACATCTTGCATGAAGAGGAAGGAAGGTGAGTAATGCATCTGTTCTGTCCTAATCCATACAGCCCATGCATGAAGCAGATTGTCCTTCTGGCAGCTCACTCCCAGGCAGACCAAGCTTCAGTTTTTGGTTGCTGTAGTGAGTGAGTTGGCCCTCTAAAGAAGGGAGTCAGGCTAGTAAGGAACTCAGCCTGGGCGTTGCTAGTCCAGCAGTATGTTGGACAAACCGTTGACGAAGGGGCCAGTGAGCACAGGTTGCAGCTTGGCTGAATCCCCTGTTCTCTTTGCTTTGGTCAGTCACAGATGGGGATGGGGTAGGGGTCGGTTCTGGCTTTCAAAACTCGCAAGACTGGCACTGTGCACCTTGGAAGTCCCCTGTGTTCTGACTCCAGAGCTTTAGAGGCGGGAATTGGGTAAGTTTTCATTATTGTGTTCAGGGTGGATTGATGTAAATAAAGTGATTTAAATCATCAGTTTTGATAAACTTTTCCATTTGCACTTCAGTTATTTTCTGAAGAAAGGTGCACTTTCATTGGTTGATATAACCATTATGTGTTGATTTACAACTAAATAGAGCCTTTACACTAGATTTGGTACATCTCTTTGCTACCTGAGAGGGTGCACTATAACTATATACATTTATGTAAACAATTATATAGCTTAATATTTTCAAATTCTTATTAACCATACATTTTATTATGTCAGAAAAGGGCAAATGATATATTGCTTATTTACTAGATAGTTAAACAAATCATGAGCAAAAAGTTAACTTCATTAGGATGGTAACAGGAATTTAATTAAACACATACAACAGCATATAAAATGTATTTTTTATTAAAACAAACCTAAATGTTTTGGATAAAT